GGAGCCCGATGCGGGACTCGATCCTGGGACTCCAGGATCATGACCTGAGCTGAAGGCAGTCGCTTAACCAACTGAGCCACCCAGGCGCCCCAAAAGTCATTTCTTTCTTAAGTCTCCTTCTTTGTTCCTTCTTTATCAAAAGACACTGCAGAGAGTGTTATCAGGGAGAATGGTGGAAGAAGGAACTCCAAAATCCCACCCTTCCATAAAAGCAATGAAAAAACTGACAAAAACCGTTGCAATTTTTTCAGAACTCTGGAAAATAACCAAAGGCTTGCAGGAACCCAAGGAGCACTCAGACAAAAAAGAATGGCTTTGTCTCAATAAGAAGAATGAACTTAATGACATATCAACTTACCTGAGTCCCATTCCCAACTCCCCAGCTCATTGGTAACCATGAAAATAACAGCCCACATTCCTGGTACTGGAGGAAACAGAACAAACCTCTTTCACAATGAATTATTTGACCTCTCTCATGGCTTCCTGGAAGACTGGCTCAAAAACTTGTCTTTATTTTGCTTTAGTAGGAACTCACCCAATGCTAAAGCGGCTACCTGGGGGGTATTGGTTGAACACCTTCATAGGCAAATCTTGTAGTCACTGCTGCCTGAGGCAATAGATATCAGTTGGAGCAAACAATACACTAACCAAAAAGCTTTAAAGTTAAAGCTGGGGAATAAAATGTCCATAAGGACTTTGAAAAGCTCAGACATATTCCTGGGACTCTATGTGGCCATATACAGGGTTATGCACACACTGGGGAAGGACCTGAAAAAGCCCTAAACTCTCACTCTTAGCTGACCTTGATGTTCTCCACAAACAAAAGGGAGAGCTAAGGCAGAGTTGTCAACTGTCTAGCTGAGTGTTGAAAGTTTCCCTCAATAGGCACACAGAGCCCCTTGGCAAAGAATGGGAGATATTTTACTTCCAGGTGTTCAAACCTTATTCCAGTCAGTGCACCACCAAGGTAGAAGAACAGAGACTTCAGCAGCCAAACAAGACAACTATACAAACTCACTAAACAAACACACAATAAAAACCACAATAAGCAACAATGAAAACACACCCTGGGAATGGGGACGAATTTGATTTCCAGAGATGTCGTATTAAAATATCTGAAATGCCCAGTTTTCAAATAGATATATAAAACATAAAAAGATACTAAAGAGTATAAATACAGGGAAAAAAGCAACTGTCTGCCAGGAAACTCAATGGTTGGACTTTCTAGACAAAGACTTTAAATCTGTTCTAAACATGTTCGAATAGCAAATAGAAACCATGTCTACAAAGCAAAAAGAAAGCATAAGAACAGTGTCTCACCAAATAGAGATTACCAATAAAGAGTTAGAAATTATTAAAAAATAAAAAGTTCAAATAGAAATTCTGGAGTTGAAAACTACAGGAACTGAGATGAAAACTCACTAGAGGGGCTCAACAGCACATTCATATAGGCAAAAGAAGCAAAAGACTTAAAGAGAGGTCAATTTAGATTTTCCAGTCTAAGAACAGAAAGAAAAAAGAATGAAGACAAATGAACAGAACCTTGGAAGCCTGTGTGACATCATTAAACCTCAACACATGCCTAATAGGAGTCCCAGAAAGAAAGGAGGGAAAGAGGCAGAAATATTTGAAGAAATAATCGCCAAAAGCTTTCCAAATATGATGAAAATCATTAATCTACACATCCAAGAAGCTCAACAAACTCACTGTGGTAAACTGAAGAGATCCACACCTAGACATATCGTAATCAAACTGTAAAAAGCCAAAGGTCAAGACAGTATTGAAAGCATCAAGAGAGAATCAGCTCATCACACAAAAAGGATCCTCAATAATATCAACAACTGATTTCTCATTGGAAACCATCAGAAACTATGGAGGCCAAAGGCAATGAAATGACATATTCAAAGTGCTGAAAGGAAAAAATAACTGTAAACCAAGAATTCTATATCCATCAAAACTATCCTCAAAAATGGAGAAATTAAGATATTCCCAAATAAACAAAAAAATGAGAGTTCACACTAGCAAGAAATGCTATACAGGCTCCTTCAGGTTGGAATGAAAGGACACTAGTGGTAACCGAAATCCACATGAAGAAATAAAGAGCATCAATAGAGGTAACTACCTAGATAAATATAAAAGACAGTATAAATGTGATTTTTGTTTATAGGTCTTTTTTTCTATCTCGTTTAAAAGGCAACTACATAAGCCAATAATTATATGTATGATGATGTATACACAGGATATAAAGATTTGGTTTGTGACAACAGGGTATAAAGGAGGGAGAAGGAACTCTATAAGAGCCAATTTTTTTCTACTATTGAAATTAAATTGATATTAATATGAACTATAAATTAAGATGTTAACAGTAATCCCCAAGGCAAGCATTAAGAAAATAACTCAAAAATATAGTAAAAAAAAAATGACAAGGGAATTAAAATGGCACACCAGAAAATATCCATTAAACACAAAAGAAGGCCATAATAGAAGAACTGAGGAACAAAAAAATTACCTAAGACTATAGAAAATAGAAAAATGGTAAAGTAAGTCCTTTTTACCTTAAATATAAATGGATTAAAATCTTCAATTAAAAGGTATAAATTGGAAGAAAGGATAGAAACAACATAATCTAACTTTATGCTGTCTATAAGGGACTCATTTTATTTCTTTTTTAACGATTTTATTTATGTATTTATATTTTTATTTATTTATTTATTTATTTGACAGACAGAGACACAGCGAGAGAGGGAACACAAGCAGGGGGAGAGGGAGAAGCAGGCTTCCTGCAGAGCAGGGAGCCCAATGCAGGGCTCACTCCCAGGACCCTGGGATCATGACCTGAGCCGAAGCCAGACGCCCAACGACTGAGCCACCCAGGTGCCCCAAGAGACTCACTTTAGATTCAAAACTACAAATAGGTTGAAAGCAAAAGAATGGGAAAAATACCAAAACAAAGCACAAAGTAGAGACAAAATTTAGACAAAATTTTAGACACACTTGTTAGTAGAGACCAAAAGATTATATGATGATAAAAGGGCAACTTCATCAAAAAGATATAACAATTATAAACACGTATACACCTGACAACAGAGCCCCTAAATACCTGAGGCAAAACTCACAGAATTAAAGGGAGAAACGGACAACTCAATAATCAGAGATGGAGACTTTAATACCCCACTTTATTTTTTAAAGATTTTTATTTATTTATTTATTTATTTGACAGACAGAGAGACAGCGAGAGAGGGAACACAAGCAAGAGGAGTGGGAGAGGGAGAAGCAGGCTTCCCACTGAGCAGGGAGCCCAATGCAGGGTCATGACCTGAGCCGAAGGCAGATGCTTAACGACTGAGCCACCCAGGTGCCCCAATACCACACTTTAAATGATAGAACAACTAGACAGAAGATCAGCAAGGAAAACAAAAGACATGAACTAACATTATAAACTAACTAGATCTAACAGGCATGTATAGAACATTTCCCCCAAATAACAGCAGAATACGCATCAATCTGAAGAGCACATGAAACAGTCTCCAGGATAGGCTTCAAGTTAGGCCAGAAAGCAAGTCTCAATAAATTTTGAAAGACTGCAATCATACAAAGTATGCTCTCCAACCTCAATGGAATTAAATTAGAAATGAATAACAGAAGGAAATTTGGAAAAATCATAAATACGTAGAAATTAAACATGCTCTTAAATAACCACTTAGTCAAGGAATAATTCTGAAAGAAAATTAGAAAATACTTTCAGATGAATAAAAATAAAAATACAACATATCACAGCTTTAAGGGTGCTGCTAAAGCAGGACTCAGAGGAAAATTTATAGTAGTAGATGCTTACATTTCTCCAACCAATAACCTAGCCTTTCACCTTAAGAAACTAGAAAAAGAATGTCAAACTAAATTCAAACCAAGGAGAAGAAAGGAAAATAAAGCTTGGAGCAGAAATCCATGAAATAGAGAATTCAGAAACTATAGAGAAAAGTCAATGAAAACAAAAATTGGTTCTTTGAAAAAATCAACAAACCCTTAGCTAAACAACTGACAAATATTTACTTAGTCTAAATAAGAAAATAAGAGAGAAAACAGAAATTACTGAAATCAGAAATGAAACAGAGGATATTACTATTGATTGACAGAAATGTTCTGTAATTAGATAGTGGTGATGTTTGCACAACATTATGAATATAACTGAAACCATTGAATTGCACACTATAAAATGGTGAATTTTATATCATATGAATTTTTAAAATATTATCTTAATATTATCTTAATACTACTTGTGGAAAAGACACTAAAGGCTAAAATTTAAAAAAAAACTACAGAGTACAGAAACTTTTTCAAGGATCATCATTCTTTTCAGCCCTATTTTGTATCCTATAAGTTCATCCATCATATTCTCTCCCACACTATATGAAGAATCTTAATTTGGGGTAAAAAAAATTTCAGATCAAGAGGACAGAAGGAAGACCCCTTTCTTCAGTCCTTCTTCCACCGAAGGACAGACAGCCATGATACCTGTTTTTTCACATACAACATATTCAAAAGATGGGTAGCTGTCCCATCATTAGAACTCTCCAGAAAGGCAATCTGCAAGTTGGTCCTCATTACCAATCAAGTAGAAATATTTATTGAGCACTTCCATGTGCACATCACTACTACAGATGAGTAGAGGAGGGGCCTACAAACAAGAACATCGACATGTCCTCCACATGTCTATGGATTTGCTGTAACTGTGAAGGGATCAAGAACCAATGTGAATGAGATGATGGGGCCATCAGTCAGTAGCAATGAGAATGGTCTGAGAAGGTCTCATTGCTGAGATGGAGAAGGAGGCTCCTGGATTGACAGAATGGCAACCAAACTGCTAGGTTTGCTGGGAACAGATTATTGTCCAATATCTAAACTAATCATGCTTAGAAGGCTACAATTTTCAGGTGATATCATAAAGTTTCACTTTTTTGAGTTTGAGAATCCAGATGACATGCTAAGAAGCTTACTGATAATCACATAAGGGTTGGATAAAGCACCAAACAGAAGCCTTGCCCAGCACCAATAATAATGCAGTCACACACCACAATGAATAAACATACACATATGTAACCCAAATCCTCTTCTACTGCCCACAAAGTCAGTGTGTGCTCAAGAGGTTCCTATGAAGATATGAGGAAATCTGGGCCATATTTTACTAAATAACTATCTGCAAAAGACCCCTTAGAAGATCCATTTACTCTTTTAATCAATTAGGATAGCATTTTGTTTTCCTAGAGTTTTTTATAGCGCTCTTAGGGGAAGAAGCATTATTCACGTAGTACAAGAGTGACCCAGAGCAGCCTATAAAACCCATGGCCATGGAAAAACCATTAACTGGCCACAATATCCCTTCCAAGTAAGCTCAGATGTGACCTCAGGCTACTTCTCAATTGGCTCTCAAGCATCACCACCCCTAAATCAGGATTGGAATTATAAAATGAGATCCATTTGCTGTCCTGAAAGAGAATGTAGCCAGCAGACTTGTAAGAAAGCCCCTTCTTTAAGCCCTTAAGTTATTTTTAAACTTTTGGCACTTGATGATTTTAAGCTTTTGTGAACACAAGCCTCCTGGCATAAAGACCAACTCCAAGTATTTTAAGTTTACTGGACCTGGCATTACTTGGGACAGTTCTGCCAATATTCCTAAGGTTGGTAGACAACAGATATAAATGTATCAGGTGTGTCATAAGCATAACATTTCAATAACTTCTCAAAATCCACATCATGGACTGTTATTTCTTTTTTTTTTTTTTTAAGATTTTATTTATTTGACAGAGAGAGACACAGTGAGAGAGGGAACACAAGCAGGGGAAGTGAGAGAGGGAGAAGCAGGCTTCCCGCCGAGCAGGGAGCCCGATGCGGGGCTCGATCCCAGGACTCTGGGATCATGACCTGAGCCGAAGGTAGACGCTTAACGACTGAGCCACCCAGGCGCCCCATGGACTGTTATTTCTTAAGAGAAATAAGTGACATTGGGAGAGGGAATGGCCAAATGGGGTGGGGTTGGGGAACAGGTAGAGGGGACAAAAGGTCAGAAGAGCGGAAGGGACTGATCTGCCAAAAACCAAAGGCTAGGCAATGAGGGAAAAGGAGAGAGCGCTACATTCATCAATCAGGGCTTTCCTGCACCTACTTTGGATGCTTGTAGGCCATGAGGCACCTCTCATACTTCCCCACCATGCTCCAGGCCATGACCAGGCCATCAGTACTTCCTGAGAGGAGATGCCACTGGTCAAAGCACAGACACTTCACGGCTCCCTCGTGGCCACTGAGAGTCTGCAAGAGAAAATGGCTCTGTTTTCACCCCATCTTCAACACAGATTGTGAGTCCTCCAAGGACTCCGAAGCTGGAGGCTTCTTTAGATGAACTGCAAAGCCGCACTCCGCCAACCCATGACTACCACTCACTTGGTATTTACCTGAGCCGACTTTACTTTTGTTCTAAGAAGGCCAGTGGTGTTCATGCCACCCTCTCTCCAGAGCTCTCTCCCTCTCTCTCCCCAGTGAAGGAAGAATGTGGTCAGGGGGAGGACTTGCTCCTGGTGGGTCTGTGGCTGGGGCACGCCTCATCTTCCTGGAGTACAGGGAGGGCCAGAATTCACCATCCTCTGCTGCCACAAGGCGTAGGGGCAGGCATTCCATCCCCAGCTCCTTGCCAAGACCAGAGGACACCTGGGCCATCACTGCACCTTTAACTGCTGGTCAGACCATGGTGACTAGATTGATGGGAAACAATCCACCAGCCAGGCCAGCAGCTTCTCACTTTGTCCCCATGCTCCTGGCACAAATGTATCTCACCACTGCCCACTAGGGCCAGGGGGTTTCAAATCCAGCAACATTTTTTCATGTGAATATTCAATCACTTTCAAGACAGAGGATGTTCTGTTTTCATCAGAGAGTTAAGTAGAAAAACCACTGTGACTTTTTCCATTCCCTTACCCCAGGCAAGAGTCAAGGTAAAATATTCTGGAAAAGGAAAAGTCACTTTACTTCTGCAGCTGTTAAAAGACCCTGAGCCCATATATCATGCTGAGTCAGAATGTAGCCTTCTACCACCACCTCCTTGACAATGTGGGTCACATGATCCCTGACCCTCCACTGACTCTGAATGGCCCTTTTTTGGGGGAAGCGAGGAGGGGCTTCCCCATCAGCTCTTCAGGACCATCCTTTTGGTGACCAGAGGTTGGTAGCTTTAGGGTGGTCTGGGGAGCTCCACGGGGGAGACCGTAAGTCCATCACCACCAGGGCCCCGTTCCCCCAACAGCCCACCACCCTCTCACCTTTACCAACTGGGCCATGACAATGTGCCACACTTTGACTAACCCCCGCTCACAGCTGCTCACGATGTAGGTGTCATTGATCCTGGTGGCCAAGATGGGGTCTTTGTGTTTAAATGTCTTCAGACACTTCCCTGTCTCTACATCCCACTCTGAAAGGGAGGGGGAAGAGAAGACGCGTGAAGGCAAGTTACGGTGGAGTTCTATACTCCATCACAGAAGCCAAGCCCATCAAGTCAGACCCTAGAAGGCCGTCACTGGCCCAGCACCCTTGGAGGCTTGCCAACAGCTCTGAGCTCCTGACCATGGGCCCCCGGGAGAGCCACCAACCATAGACCTTGGCTCTAACCCTAGAACTTAGTGTTGGGGTCCAAGTGCTAGCCAGCTCATCTCTAATAAGCTTCCTTCTTGAGCCTGCAAAATACTTGCTCTTGAGTGGATTTCAAGAAAATCATGGCATGTGTTCCATGGCCTCATTCTTTCCAGACACTATTCTCCTGACTCACCTCTTCTATCTCCAAAAGAAACGAAAGCTGTCTATCCTTATTTACATTTTAAAATATCTCTGAATCTGACTTTTGGATTTTACTAACTGACAGATTGCCAGAGCTGGGGGCAGGCTTAATGCTGCTTCCACATAGATGATGCTAGGGCAACTGCCTAGCACACTGTAAGGGTTGGGAAGATATGAACGTAGGTGGATAGGTGGGAGCACAGAGCTTAAAGGAGAAAACTGAAAGGAGGCACCACAAATTCGGGGATGAGACCATTAAAGTCAGCCTCGTCGGGCCCAAAGTACCTCTCAGGCAACAGAATGTATAACCTAAGACAAAATAATAACCACACCTGATACTTACATATAGCACGCACAATGAGCCGGACACCATCGAGAGTGCTTGACATATATTAACTCATCTTCACAAGACAGTTGCTATCATTATTCCCCACTACACAGATGAGGAAACAGGGATAGAGAAGTCCAGTAACCTGCTCAAGATCACGCAGATGGTAAGCAGATTGAGCCGGGATTCGAACCCAGGGAGTCTGGATCCAGAAGCCATGCTCTTAACCACATACACTAGATTAACCCTAACTATGTAAGTATGCTTTTCTTCGTGTATTTTTTATACATACATTGGCCCTTTAATCTGATTAGAAAGGAGGAAGCTGAAGGGCACCTGGCTGGCTCAGTAGGTAGAGCGTCTGACTTCCGCTCAGGCAGTGGTCTCAGGGTCCTGGGATCGAGCCCCATGTTGGGCTCCCTGCTCAATGGGGAGTCTGCTTGTCCCTCTTTGTCTGCCTCTCCCCCTGCTTGTGTTCTCTCTGTCTCTCTCTCAAATAAATGAATAAAATCTTCAAAAAAAAAAAAATTTAACAAGTTGGGGGTTACATTTCAGGTCTCTTAACTGTCTCTTCTTCCTTCTATTGGTAATCGAGGCAGGTGGGAGGCGCCCAGGGGAAGCAAGCAGGCTGGGGGCTGGGGCTAGGTTTTGGGTAAAGAGAGAGATCTTTTGAAATTTTTTTCATCGTGTATTTTGTGAATTAATTCTGACCTTTTAAATATTGCTTTAAAATGTGTATCTTGAGAGGCGCCCAGGTGGCTCAGTCGGTTAAGCGTCTGCCTTCAGCTCAGGTCATGATCCCATGGTCCTGGGATGGAGCCCCCCCATCCAGCTCCCTGCTCAGCGGGGAGCCCACTTCTCCATCTGCCCCTCTCCCCACTCATGCTCTCTCTCTCAAATAAATAAATAAAATCTTTAAAAAATATATATGTATCTTGATTACTAGGAGTTTTGGGTGCCCCATTAAGTTTTACACCTGAGATGAGAGCCTACCTCCCCTTGCCCTAGCTCTTGCCCTGCCATTGGCCCTGTAAGACTCTCTCAAGTTTGGAGGCCTTGTCTGGGCTTCCAGCTCCAAACCCTCATCCTTTCCTCCTTTCTGCTCTCCTCCTCAAAGCAGTCATGGCAAAGAGACTTTCAGTCAGGTCAGAGAGGGCAAAGAAGTAGGGAGCAAGGTTTCTTAAGAGGTCTGAGGATTTGCATATGGAACAACACTCCATTCTTGCTTTCCCTCACCTTTTTCCTCCGCCTACCCCTAACATGCTGTGGTTCCCTGGGTCCCTTGCTTCTCTTATCTTTTGACTCTCTCCTCATGCTTTGCAGGGGAAATCTCATCCACGCCTGGAGCTTCCACCTTTCATTATAATTGATAACCACCAAATTGATGTATCTGGAGCCCCAGACCTGTTATATGGTAAACTCACATGTAAACTCACACCTGCATCTGCCTCCTGCAATCTTCCCCTGGCTGTCCTCAGGAATCCCATACCCGATGTATTAGCTTTTTATTGCCACTGTAACAAATTGCCACACAAATATATTATCTGGCATGAGCACCTCGCAAGGCTAAAATCAAGGTGTCAGCAGAGTTGTGTTCCTTTATGGAGATTCTGGGGCTGGAGGGATCCATTTCCTTGCCTGTTCCACCTTCTAAGGGCCACCCATGTTCCTCGGCTCATGACCCCCTTCCTCCACCTTCAAAGCCAGCAACGTTGCATATTTCTGACCATTCTTCCATAGTCACATCTCCTTTAGATCACAGACAAGAAAATTTCTGTTTTTAAGGATCTATGTGATTACCCATTGGCCCACACTGATAACCCAGAATAATCTCTCCATTTTAAGGTCCCCAACTTAATCACATCTGCAAAGTCCCTTTTGCCACGCAAGGTAACACGGTCACGGGTTCCAGGGATTAGGACATGAACATGTTTGACTGGCCATTATTCTGCCTACCACACTCAGCATGTCCAGAATTGAAGCCATCACCTCTTCCTTCGTTCCTCACCCTACCTTATTCTTCCCCTTAGTCCTTACTTCCAATAATGGCACTTCCACACATCCAGTGGCCTGAGTTTAAGAGTCTGGCCTCATTATCTGCCCTTCTATCTTTCTCACATTTCACATCCACCTAGCAGTGAAGTCCTGCCAATTGTCCCTATGGAAATCTCCCTTCAGTCTGTGCCACGTCATGTAAACTCTTATCTACCTGACTTTCTTCAGGTTTGCCTGTTCTCGGATATTCTGAAGACACCTCAGCAGTTTTCTAGACTGAGTAGTGTCTTCACCTGTCTCCTGTCTCCACAGAGTTTCCCAACTCCAAATCTTCCTTCCACACTATCGCTAGAGTTATCTTTGTCAGATACACATTTCATCATGCCAGTCCGCAGTTCAAAGTACATTTATAGCCTCCTGCATTCTATAGGATAAAGTTCAATTTCCTACCACGATGCAGAAGGCCCTTGGTAATCTGGCCCCAAACAAACTAACCAGCCTTATGTCCAACACCACAGGCTGCAGTCCAGCCATACCCAAGCAAGGGGAAATTCCCTAAAGACACCATTTTCTTCAACCTTCTGTGAATTTGCCTGTGCTGTGCTTCTACTTATAACGTCCTACATTCTCCCTCTGCTTGTAGAACTACTCACCCTCAAGAACACACTCAAAGAGCACCCTGTCTGTGGTACTTTCCCTGTTACTCTTGTTTCCCTGGTCCCCTAGAATTCCACATGTGGGATGCTTGGGTGGCTCAGTCAGTTAAGTGTCTAACTTTGGCTCAGGTCATGATATCAGGGTCCTGGGATTGAGCCCCTGTCAGGGTCCACACTCAGCAGGGAGTCTGCTTGTCCCTCTCCCTCTCTCTCTGCCCCTCCCCCTGCTCATGCTTTCTCTCTCTCTAATAAACTAAAATCTTAAAAAAAAAAAAAAAAGAATTCCACATGTTGGGTAGGAGCACATGATTTAGAGTCAGACAGCCCTGGGTTTAAATCCCCACTCCACCACTCGGCTGTTCTGATTTGGGGCAAGGTGTTTTTCTCTCTCAGTTTTGGATTTCTCATCTGCATCCACACCATAGGCTTCTTGTGAGGGTTAAATTAATAAATAATATGTGTAAGGTACCTACGTCAGTCACAAAAGTAGTACTCAATAAATGGCAGCCATTATTATTCATATACTTATTATATCCTCCATTATATATTTATGTATCTCCATTAAAAGATTATGAGCCTCTTGAGGAGATAAAAAGCCATATTGAAAGGGCCATCTCATATCTGTTTTTTTCCTTAGCACCTAGCACAGTGTCTAGCGTATTGTAGGTATTCCACAAATAACTGTTACCTGAATGGATCAATAGATATATGGATGGATGGATGAAAGAATGTCTTCCTACAGAAATAAGCAAAACAGTATTTTGACAATTCATGGATTTGGGAAACTTCTGAGAAAGTTTAAGGCATTTCTTTCTCACCTTTCACCTGGCAATCTCTTGCTCCAGATACGAGCCTGTTCTTATATAAATCCATGCAAGTGACTGTCCCCTGGTGGCCATTGAAGATTCGTATACAAGCCCCACTTTTCAGATCCCAGGATCTGCAGGAATCAGGCCAAAAAAAATGTTTTTGAGATTTTTCTGAGGACCCAAAGGGATCATACTCTATACAACTTCCCTTAGATCAACAGGTTGTTGGAAGGCGGCAAAGTTTCATGGTCAAGCTTAGAGTCAGAGGCCTGGATTTGAATCCCAGTTGCAGCACCGATTAGGTGCAACTTTGGGGAAGTTACTTAATTTCTGTGTAAGCTTCATTTCCTCAATGGTAGAATAGAAATGATAACAATGATAGTTACACCTCATAGGGTTTTTGTAAAGAATTAAATACACAAATGCAATGACCGTCAACCAGGAGTGATTTCCACCCCTAGGGGACATTCGGCAATGTCTGGAGACATTTTTAGTTGTCTCAAGTGGGGAGAGAGATGCTACTGGTCTCTAGTGTGTAGAGTCCCAGGATACTGCTAAACATCCTCCAACGCACAGGACACCCTTCACACAAAGTACTTTACAGTCCCAAATTGAGAAACCCTGCATTAATTCATGTAACCCTGGAACGATGTTCAACATGTAGAAAATGCTTAATAAATGTTGGTTGGTATTAGGTGGAAGTTTCTAGAATCACCACCAGGCTTAAAATCCATGGCACTGATTCAATGGTAGAGCTGATCTTCAAACAAGAACAACAGAACCATTCAGTCACTTAGATCCAAAATATTTTATGTGTATTTCTAAGACATATCTAAGAAATAAATGGGAACATGTATGAGTCACACCATTTTTTAATAAGCAAATTTGCCAGAGGTCTCTCAACTATCACTGATACAGACTTCCACTTCAGCCAGTTTGCTTTTGTGATGGGACAAAGTGTAATATTAAAATAGTGGGTATCTAAGATAGATAGAGCCAGGCGGCCTGAGGTACAATCACAGGTCCATCACTTACTAGCTGTATGATCTTGGATAAGTTAATGAACCACTCTGTATCCCAGTTTCCTCATGTGTAATTTGGGGATAATAATGGTAGTTACCTCATAGAGTTATTATGACACTTGGTACATAATAAATGATTAATAAATGTGTCTTTTGTTTTTCTTTGAATGTGCTATGCTTTTCCTTCTAATATTCCCAAAGGTCCTGTGGCTTTAGCTGTTTTTCAGAGCCAACTATGAACCCACAGTTCATTTAAAGATATCCCAGTGATCTGGGAAAAAGCATGCTTTGAATTTCTGTTTCTAGCAACACGGCTGACCATGTGATCAGGTTGTTTTTCTTAAGTTATGTAGAAAAGATATTTGATAAACACTTTTAGAAAAATAGGAACAGGGATGCCTGGCCGGCTATGTCAGAAGAGCATGAGACTCTTGATCTTAGGGTCGAGAGTTCAAGCCCCGCATTGGGTGTAGAGATTACTTAAATAAATAAATAAGCTTTTTAAAAAAAGAAAAAGAAAAATAGGAATAGAAGGAACTTCCTTGATTTCACAAACTTATAAACAAAAAGTCAGAACAGCAAGCATTATACTTAGTGAAAAAAATATATATATACTCCCTTCAAAAAGGATAACAAGATGCCTGCTCTCACTACTTCTGCTTAACTGGAAGGCCTAGGCAAAGTCAGAAAGAAAGAAAAAGAAAAAGTAGTATATAAGCATTAGAAAAGAAGATAATTATTATCATTATTTCTGGTTGAAAGATCATCTACATAGAAAAACCAAATCAGCACATATACTTTTAAAACTGATAAGAGAAGTTAGCAAGGTTGCTAAATACAAGAACAATCCATAAAAATCAGTACCATTTCTCTATACCAGCAATAATCAATTTAAAAATATAAATAAAGATAAGATACTGGGCGCCTGGGTGGCTCAGTTGGTTAAGTGTCTGCCTTCGGCTCAGGTCATGATCTCAGGGTCCTGGGATCGAGTCCCGAATTGGGGGAGTCTGCTTCCCCGTCCCCCTCTGCCCCTCCCCCCTACTCATTCTCTCTCTCAAATAAATAAATAAAATCTTTAAAAATAAAAAAAGTTTAAATTTTAAAAAATTTTTAAAAAAGATACTTCGGGAGAATATCTTCATGACTTTACCAAAGGGAGGGATTTCTTAAACGTGTTAAATCCATGAAGTCAACTGACTTAAAGTTAAGGATTTCTGTTCATCAAAAGACACCACAGTCGGGTGCCTGGGTGGCTCAGTCGTTAAGCATCTGTCTTTGGCTCAGGTCACGATCCCGGGGTCCTGGGATCGGGCCCCGCAACGGGCTCTCTGCTCGGCGGGAAGCCTGCTTCTCCCTCTCCCACTTCCCCTGCTTGTGTTCCCTCTCTTGCTGTCTCTCTCTCTCTGTCAAATAAATAAATAAATAAATTTTAAAAAAAGACACCACAGTGAAAAGAGGAGTCTTAAATTGGAAGAAGAAATTTGCAACACAAAAATAAACAAAGAATTAGTATCCAAAAAGTATAAACAACTCTGACGAATCAATAAGGATAAATAAATTAACAGAAAAATAGGCCAAACCACAACAAAAACTGAACAGGAATTTCATAGAAGAAGCACAAATGGGTCTAAAACATATTGTGATGGTTAATTTTATGTGTCAACTTGGAGGGTGGTTTGGGACAAGATCACCATTTAAACCAATGGGCGTCGATTGACAGATGAATGGATAAAGAAGATGTGGTATATACATACAACGGAATATTACGCAGCCATCAAAAGGAATAAAATCTTGCCATTTGCAATGACATGGATGGAACTGGAGGGTGTTATGCTGAGCGAAATAAGTCAATCAGA